TGAAGATGAGAAATGAGCTGTCTTAAGGAAAGGGCTACTGCTGTGGAGACACTCGCTCTGGAAAAAGCTTTTAGCTCCCTGAAGCAGGACAAGGACTGCAGGGCTGCGTTGTGGACTCTGACTGAGAGGAACCCTTAGTTCCCTGTCGGGGCTTAGAAGACAAACTCTGCCTTTTGTCATAGTTGCTAGGCTCCAGGCCAGGTTTGGGGGTTACATCTTCTGCCTTCCTATGAACAGAGGGAGAAATCAGCACAGGATCTGGTTGCCATAAATAGGAATAAATTTTACTATACTTATAGGGCAGATGTGTCCCCAGTTTGCTGATCCTACAGATTTCCTCAGAGGAGGTTCCTGCCAACATTCGCTCAACACTCGTTTATTGTTGATCAAACACACAGGCTGTGTGCGCTGACTCACTCCCACTAATAGGAAGCCAGGCAGACTCTTCAACATCTATTGGAGGGGAAACCTCTGAGGAGCAGATGCTGAGGAGCCAGTAGCTGGACTCCCCTTCCCATCCAGACTCCCCCTCAGCTGCAGCGAGTGGGGACAGCAGGGGACAAAACATCACCGTAACTGGGTCAAGTGTCAGGAATCAAAGCTGTCAACCGTTTGAGTATTATTGGAATCCTGCTCTCCTGCATTTTCTGGTGTCATTGCCCACAGCATTCTGAAAAGGCAAACGAAGGTCCAGGGGTACGGTCGGATCATTGCATCACGGTTTCACTGGAAACCAGTGACAAATTCAAGTGGTGGCCAGTGGAAATTCCCCAGTGAACCACACTGAAAGAAAACGAAGGAGTGGGCTCTTTCTTTACATTTCATCTCCATATTCTGAAATAGCAAGTGGAAATGCTGCGAGGGTCCTGGGAGAGTGAGTCTTGCCTAGGTGTGAGGTTTCAAACGTTTCCACCCGAATGGCTCCTCCCCCTGCACTTTTCATCAGGATGTGGGGATTTTATTACCTTGGGACTTTTAAACATACTGAGTAGAAGTGATAGTTTACATCTTGAGCCCTACAATCCAAATGTTCCTGACCTCGGAGGCTAGGCAGAGCTGCGGCTGTCTGAAACGCCATGGAAGAAATAATAGCTTAGGAGGAATGCCTACCCGAAAGGACCACAAAGTCCAATTGTCAACCTGTCCCCGTCTCATGAGCCACTGAACACCAGCTGAGCTTATGGAGGTACTCCTAATGCAGTGGTAGAAGGCAAAGGACTCCCCACCCAACCAGTGTGCTCCAAGATCGGGACCCACGGGTTCTGTTGCTTTAGTGTAGCCATGAGAGTTATGTTGCGACATTTCCTGTGTTTGGTCTTCAGTCTGAAGTGGAGCTGTTTCTGGCTTACACTGCTCAGCAGAGCTGGGGACCATTCTCCTGAGTAGACACCGGCAGCATCTCCTGGACTGCCGCTCACTTGCTGAGATGTATGGTTCTGGTCAATTCACTGAACCTTTCCAACCACACGACATCCAGTTTACTGACGGTTCCAGTGAGGGTTGAATGACATAATTAGTCTAGTGACTGCACAGAGAGGCTTTTGTTTTTACTTTCTTAAAGTCATAGAGAGAGGAAGAACTGTGGGCTACCTCAGCTCTGTGCCCACGGAAACATTACCTGGGCATCAGCTTCATCATCTGTAAATGGTAACAGAATATGTACTGTATGGCAATGGTAGGGTTTTTAAATGGATAGGATTTAAAATGGGTGTAATATTAAGGGGGGAAAGGGGACATTTGTTAAAGTAGATTTACTTCGACTGCTGACTTCCTTCTGCTCTCTTTCTCCCACACATGGACACGACAGATTCTGTAAGTCTGGCAGGTAGCACTTCTGGCAAGTATTAGGAGGCTTGAAGTGTGTTGAAATGACCAAATTAGGCATGAGAGGCATCAGAGGACCTGGGGATGATTGTCCTCTGGGCAAAGAGCTCCTGGGCATCCAGTGTCCATTGTACTTCTCAGATGGAGAAGGTGGGGCTTTTAGAGACACCACTGGGTTCAAGTTCCCTAGCGGCGTTATGAGTATGACATATGTCAGTTTATCCAGCCTGCCGGTGGACCCCTGGCCTGTAACTTAGGATAAGAGGTGGGCCTCCAGAGAAGAGTTATAAAGGGTCCCTGGGAAGCTCAGCAGCCAGTGACATCTCTTTTTCCTCACCCAGGCACAGACTTTGTCACGGCTGGTTCTGAGTACTTAGTCATCTCCCAGGGGATTGTGGGTAAGATGCCACTGTGACTTTGGTTCTTGAGCCTTGGGGAATGGCTACTCTATTTTCAGCCTCTGCACATGATTATCTTAGAGCAAACATCACCGCCTTCAAGGCTACCTGTTGCTTCATCTCATGTGCTAACCTCTGCCTTACATACTGCTTGTTCATTCTACCGGGCACCATCTCTGGACCACGTGCTCCGCAGCTCCAAATCTGCACTTTAAGGACGACTGCGTTTTACCTTCCCGGTTATCTTCTTAAAGGATGCTGAATCACTGCCACCCTCTTCAGTAGTCACCCGAGGCATTCGCTATTTCTTCCTACCATTTGTTACAATTTAACTTCATATATTTATGGGCCTCTCCCACAGACTTCCTGCCTTGTTGGGACAGAGTCACTTTCTACCTCACTTATAACTGAATGGTCAAAATCTACAATAAGAGGTTTCCAGTCAGCATCTTCTTTTCTTTTTTGGTGGGGAGCAATGCTGGGTACAGAACCCAGGGCTTCACAAATGCCAGACAAGCAGCTGTGAGCCACCTGTCCAGTCTCTCAGTGAGTACTGGATTCATGAATCAATATTGCTCTTGCACCTTTAGTGAGGGCTCAGGAAAGCAGAAACCTTTGTGACCTGTTCGAGCCATCAGAAGCTGCTCTGCAATCTTATTTTAGATAATTAAGTCCAGTCCTATTTTATTACAAGATAACCAGCCACAGGCCAGAGATGGGACTGAGCGGGAGGGGGTTCCTCGGGTCGGGGGAAATGATGGCTTTCGTTTCTGATACTGGAAAGGGAACAGAACCCACCTCTTAAAAGCAGCCAGTCAGCTTAGGCCATAATTATTTCTGTCTGAATTGGGAAGGATGAACCCTGCCATATTTGTCTCTTTCTCTGTCCAAGTGAACCAGTTAACACAGCCATAAACATGGGTTTTCAGTCCTGGGAGGATCCAACCCAATGTAACTCCCAAATAAATGCTCATAAGAATGCCACCATTCAGTTAAAGTTTGGAGACGTGAGTCTGCAGTGGGGGTCACTGTCCTGCTAGAACTTGTAACACACCCTTGGATTTATTCCAGTTTGGGGCTGGGAGTGGGTTACAAACACCCTGGCTCACACTGAGTCGTTAGAGCTGAGATATTCAAGGACAAGGCTGATTCACACAGATAGAAGGGCCAATTATTTGAGTAAGAATTAACTCCTGAAGGACCCTGGGCATGTGGCTCATGAGAGCTTTAACAGGGAAAAGAATCCCACCCTGTCCAGAAGCTGTCCTTGTTGGGTCTCTGGTTGGACATTGTCTCTGGTGTCCCTACGCTCCTATGTACATGGACAGAGAAGAGCTCAAAGACCCCAACACAAAGAATTGATAGGGATGCTAATTATGCTGACTTGATCAGAGCACACTGTGTGAATGTACTGTGATATCACACTGCCTACAGTCGTGTGTATGTACTGAGACATCACATGTCTACAGTTGTGTCTGTACTGAGACACCGAATGCCTACAGCCACCCCACAATGAGTGTGCTTGATCTCCTAAGCTAAGCAGGCTTGGACTTGGTTAGAACTCAGAAAATAGATCTTACATTAGACCCCAGAAACATACAATTATTACATGCTAATTTAAAATAAAAACAAGTGTTTCAGTGACACCACCCACTGCCTGTAGGTACAGTTAGAACCCTTTGGAAGCTTTTGCAAATTTGATCCAGGCCAATGTGCTAGCTTATCTTCCATTTCTCCTGAAGCCACCCACAGTCAGCATTATCATTTGTCATCCTGTAGATAGATTCCACACTTCTATAGCTACTTCTCCTCTATGCCAACCACCTCCTCAGGGTCTTTCAGCAGGTCAGTCCGCCTTCTCATGGAACGTTCCCTCCCACACAGCTTCCACAGGATCCAAGGCCAGCCCAAACCCCACTGTTAACGTTTTACAGTGCTAGGTTGCTGGTCCATGTGGTGCTTTAGTTCTGGTCTTGTATTACCAAGCATGTCACAGCGACCCCAGACATTTTTACACACGTGTGCAGAGTTGACAGGACAGTTAGAAAGAACTGGTTCTGCTTCCACCATGTGGGTTCTCTGGGGATTGAACTCAAGTAGTCAGGTTTGGCAGCAAGTGCCTTTACCTACTGAGCCATCCTGCTGGCCCATACAAACATGCAGGGAGTTCTTCCTTTGTGGACTTTAGCTGGGTCTGATACCCTTCCGTTTTCCTATTTCTTTCTGCCTTTTCAGTACACATCCAAGACAGGAATTCCCAGCCTGAAGTTTTTCATAATTCTCCAAACTTCTGCTTCTGGATGCACCTTGGCTGACTACAGTGGGGTGTTTGAGGGATGATCTCAGAGCTGACTAGAACCACAAGTGGAACTCTTACCTGATTTTTACTTTGTAATTATTTAATTTGTAATTTATGAGTTAGATTTTTTTTTTTACAAAAAAAGGTGTCATGTCTCTGAAAGCAGCTATGTTTAGTCATGGCTGGATAGGCTGGGAGTCAGTCAAGTGCAGACTCTGAGAACAGAGGCTGCCTGTGGTTTGGCGTGCTGCCAGGGCAGGGTCCTCTTCAACTTGTAGGATGGAGTTGGCACAGGAGAAAGAAAAGAAACGTGATTGAAAGGCTGAAGGCAGACCCAGGACATAGCAGACGAAAAGATAAGTGAAGGAATGTTCTCTCAAGCAGCACAAAAAACAGAGCGTGCATGGCGGGGGAGGGGATTCAGGGGAGAGACAGCAGCCTTAACTGCAGATCAGCCCTTTGGAAGGAGTCCTACTCACTGAGTGGATGATGCCTTGAAGAGCCTGGAAGCCATCGTTCACAGGAAACACATGGTCCTTACTGTCTGCAATCCGAGCCAGCTGAGAACAGACAGACACACAAACATGTAAGGGGCGTGTCAGACACGGACGGGAGACTCAGGAAAGCAATGCTGTGCTGCATGGTTTTGTGGCACCTATGTTCAGAACCCAGAGGAATCTGGAGCCTTCACCAGGCTCAGGGCCTCATTGAGGGCCCCTCAGCAGTAACAAGCTAACCAGGGACCCCCTGGAGCAGGCTGCCTTTGTTTCGGAGCAGAGGTAAGGCTGCTCAGCTGGATGAACACATGACTTGGGCTGATGTATTTGTAGATTTGGGCGACCACTGGCTTGTTTCTCACCCAGATATCTGCTGGTAATTTTATCGAAATCGAACAGACTGGAGTCCTTCCAAAGCAATCAGAGCCAAATTCAGGCATTCTTATAGCACCAGGCTGATGAAAGGGGTCCCACCTTTCACCCCAAATGCTATGAGGGTCAGGCTCATTGCTTCTTCCTTCACGAAGCAGGAGACAGAGGACAAGGAGTGGCTGACCAATGACCCTTAACATTCACAGTTCTGGGACTGCCATAGAGGCCATGCCAGTTTTAAAATTGATTTACATCGTTTTTACCGATTGCAAAAGTAACATACTCATTATAAAAAACTTAGAAAAATATAAAAGTTAAAATGGAAGAAAAACAAAGCCTGTTCATAACAGATCTGTACCTGTGTGTGTGTACTTTGTTCTTATTGACAACTGGCTATGTATAAACTGTTGTACTCTTTCAATGCAAGCATACATGCATTTATTCCAGAAGTGGGCAGGTACTACTCCCACCGCTTTGTAACCCTATCTTTTTTCACTCAATGACTTACTGAGAACTCTGTGTCGCTATAACAAAACAAGCACAAGACACACGGAAGAGCTCTTATTATAAAGGACGCTGGCACGCTTCTACTTCTGGGCACACTTCTCCAACTAGCCCTACAGTTTTATATTGAAAGTGCATTACATTGTTAATAAGCAAAAGAGGATGTCTGTCATTTAAAAAAGAAAATTGTATTTGTCAAATTAAAATTTTTAGAAAGGTTTCTAAGTTAATTGAGACCTGTGTTGACACCTTGGCGACTTAATGATACCCAGAAAGTTAAACAAAAGAGATGTGCCCTGGGTGGTCTGTGCTAAGACCCCAGAAAGCTCAAAGATGATGTCAAATCCTTCACACAGCCAAAAGTTTCTTCCTGCCTAGCTTCCCAGAGAAACATCCTTTAAGGGGCATGTATTCCACAGATGACCCCGCTACGCTGAATGAACTTGCTGTCCATCGCTCCTGAGCTCAGCACATTTCCAAACAGGGGTAGATCCAGGCCCATACCTGAGTTTCATTGAAATCCTTCACACCAACACAGTAAACAATCGCGCCAAGGTCTCGGGATCTGTTCGCCTGGGTGAGGAGACAAAGGAGATTAAACAGAGGTGTAGTATCTCCCTCTTGATTTCAAGACTGCTATCAACCAGTCTTGACGTGTTTCCTGAGTACCTACTCTGTGGCAGGTGACACAGTGAAGGAGCAATCCAGATCCCAAGGAGCCCATGCTCTAGTGACCATGAAAGGCTAGGTGAAGCGTGTGGCTCAGAGGGCAGTGGTTAGATTAGGAGGCACCCACCAAAACAGACTTCAGTGACAGTCCTGGAAGGCTATGGGAGGAGGAAGGATGACAGGGCAGATAAACCACATGGCACATCCGGGAAAAATGTCCACCTTTGCTATTCGTGAAGCAGGTTTTATTGGCGTATTTTCATCTTTGGGGGTTGATAACACAGTATTACAAAGGAATGCAGCCTTTGGCACCAGATATCCCTGGGCAGACGCTTGACTTCACTCTGTAAAGTGTTTGGGGAATTAACTGTGGTCATATGTGCAGAGCTCACTGGCACTGTGATGTTCCTATTGTCAGCATCTTTTGTGAACTACAAGCCTTTACCTCACTGACACAGAGCCAAGCAGTTTGATGGTAAGTCCATATCTGAATAGGATCCCAGGATCTTTTCTACACTGAGAAGGCAACATACTGAAAAATATTCAGGTTTTGGCTTGGTGTTATATTTGATGTATTAAAGGTATTTTGATTTGCTTTGGTATTTGTTTTCCAGATTTCCTGTGTTTCAGGCCAGAACACAGGAACTCCTTGGCTCACGGAACAGGTGCTCAATAACTAATGAACAGTAAGTATAAAGCGCCCAATATAAGCATACTGATTTGAGTTGTAATTTCTCCCGCTATGAGAAGTCAAACCCACTTGTTTCTCCCACTGACTTCCAGCAGGGACAGAATAAGTATTTCCTGCTACACTCAGAATGAGATGAACCTTGAGATACAGTCTAGCCCTCACTCATCTCCATCAACTCCAGACTCCTATCCTCTAGCTGGGCTTTCTGGAGAGTCACGGACAGGGGAGGGTTCATGTTCTTTGCATCTTCTCTGGGAACGCTTTCTTCTGTTGGCATCAGGATGCTGAGCGCTTAAGTCTGTATGTGCCATACCTAAAATTGCTTCCAGCTAACGTCTGCTTCAAGTCCCTCACACTCATCATTTGTTTTATTCCAGTTCTTTCCTTATTAGGGGTTTTACTTTATTTGATGGTTATTTAGTGCCTAAATAAGCCACTGCACATTCCATCACATAGTGTTAAGTTTAGAATACAGAAACGTATTACTCCCCAGATGCTCAGGGCATCTGTCATGTTAGCTTGTGTTTCCCATGCCAGGCTTGTGCTCGTGGGAGAGGGAAGAAAGGAAAGCATTTCATGGCAGAGCCCAGCAGCTGGGCCTTGCTCTCGTGTGTGCCTCTAGGGTGTAGCCAAGTCCAAGTTCATAATGAACAAGCGCACTGCTTCACATCTGTGGATGGAGTTCAGTTTAAACTAAATAGTGGTCAAAAGACCCAGGCAATTGCAATGCTGCCATTAATGTCTTCCAGCATCTGGCCCACCTCCACTTTGTATCTTTTTCCTTCTGTGTGAATTTCTGCCTGGGCCTGAGTGAGCCTGTGTCTGCAGTAAGACTTCAGTGTGTCTGTGGACTCATGCACCAGGACACAGGCCACCTACCAATAACCACACCTCTGGAAAAAAATAACTTTCTCTCCAAACAACCATTGACGCCAATATCTCCTTAGCTGGGTCAGCGTGGGGGGGGGGTTGAGGCCTTGGGCATCCCTCCTCTGGGGGAATCGTTTTTGAGAGCATAAAGGAAAGGAGGGCTGGAAAGATGGTTCAGCAGTTAAGAGTGTGAAATGCTCTTCCAGAGGACCCTGATCTGATTCCCAACACTCATGCCAGACAACTCACAACCAACTGAGACTCCAGCTCCATGGGGAATCAATGCCTTTGGCCTCTGAGGGCACCCACACCCGCAAGGTTGCTCAAAGCATCCATCACTCCAGTTCCAGGGCATCTGGCACCCTCTTTGGACTTCCACAGGTGCCAGGCACACACATAGTACACATGCACACAGAAAATAAAGCTGTGGTTTTTTTGTTTTTGTTTTCTGATATGTGGTAAAGACAACCCTTAGAAAGGGAAAGGGAAGAAGAAATACAGAAGACTGCAAGTGTTCCACCATCTCTGTGAAGCTCCGTCTCCTTGGCTGAGAATCTGTTTTGTTGTTGTTTATTTGCTTTGTTTGTTTTTCGAGACAGGGTTTCTCTGTGTAGCTCTGGCTATCCTGGATCTCACCATGTAGACCAGGCTGGCCTAGAACTCACAAAGATACACCTGCCTCTGTCTCCAGAGTGCTGGATTAAAGATGTGCATCAACCGCTGCCCCCCACACCCCCAGCTGGACTGAGAATCTGAATTTTCACTCTGGTGGACTGGTTCTTATATACCTCAAAAAGCTCTTTCTCATCTAACATTTTAGTAGAAAATATGAGTGAAAAAGGAAGAAAATTGGTACCAACATTTTTTTCTTTAAAACAGATATGATAGTTTTTAAGCTGCTAAAGTAATACAGTACCTTCAATAAAGGCATAGTAGATTTTATTTTGAAAGGAGAAAAACATTTACCATGTAGGAAACATGAAAATTCACTTTAAAATGAATCATTATGATTATTTTTACACATGAACCAGTCCCATTCAGGTTTTTTTTTTCCAAGAATGACTATTGTTTTGCCTGAATACCGAGTTGGATCATGTCAGAGAAAGGCCCTGTTCTCCTCACACACCCAGGCACACACTACACACTCTAACTCTGAGCTGCACACCCAGTTCGTTTCCACACAGACACAGGGGCTGTTACTCACCTCCCTCTCTGAGTAGAAGAAGAGATCTTCATGCAGCTCCCCATCCGTCAGTGCGATGATAACACTTGCTGTCCTGTATCCTGTTCAAAGCAACAGAGACTCTCTCACTTGTCCAATACCCCCAGGACACCCCCACAGAGACCCTCTCACTTGCCCTGTGCCCCCTGGACACCCCCATGAATCCCTGAGATTCTATCTCTCATAAGTTCGATCACTGAAAACGAACATGGTGAGAATCGCCAGTCTTGATTTGGGGTGTGGAAGCGACTCCAGCATGAGTTTTGTAGGGTCAGACTTCTGGATTTCTCAACCTCATCTCAACATATAGGCCGACCCCGTGACATGTCTGCTGAACCAGTCAGTCACTGCGAACAGTTCCAGTGACCAACGGTCCCCAGGCCTGGGGCAAATTCCACACTTGGACTGTATTGGTCCTTGAATGCCATAGCTGACCACATACACCACACTTGGAAGACAGTTTGCCAAAACATACTATTTATCAGAACTTGCAAGATGACCAGAAGTGTTACAACTGTTGGCAAAATCTCCTGGAACTTCCAATGCTACTTAGACTTCCAGTAACAGTATTTACAATTGATTTTGCTCAGCAAGTTTGGGGCCTGACCTATTTGCAGCAGTTTAATTACAATCAAACAGGACGTGACTATCAGGAGGAAAGTCCCCACAGTTATGTGGAATCCCACTGAAGAGACTAGTGTGACATACTGCAACACTCTCCATGAGGGAGACTAATAGTAACTAGAACAATGATGGCATTATATTCCTCTTTCTAAGGACTTTCTTAACCACACCTGATGCATTTATATTTAAGTGAAGGGATATTTAATTAAAACTTGATCGAAGTATCAGATTCAACCACAGGAGCTCAGAGAGAGACAAGACAATTAAATCTGACACAAAATCCAAGACCTTACTAGCCCATTCAAGTGTTTATTAATTTAATGAATTCATCATGCAAAACTACTCATGCAATTTGCAAACTGTAGCCATAATTGGATCTTAATTGTTTTAAGATAATGTTTCCTGGCACAGCATGGCAGAATTTGGCCTGATAAAAGCCACATTTCAAAGCACTCCTTAATATTCCTATGAACCATGTCACACATGTACTTTGAAGTGTAAAAATTCTCTTTCAGAAGCAAACATGGAGAAATGAAACACTTTATAATGTGGCTTTATGTTACAATCTTACCTTGACTGTTTTCATAGTAAATCTGCTCACTGGCCTGAAAAACAGACAAAGAAGCCATTAGACCGTTAGCCACACAACACTGCTCGCCAGTCCAGTAGCATGCATGCAGGCCCGAGGATCTGTTGCTTGTCTGCAGCTAGGGCTGTCTAGATCCTTAATATGACTTGCACAGGTCTCACTCAAAATGCCAGTGCTGATGTTCAGGTAAAGTGACTCTCACAGACTGTTGACATGGGTGGAGATCTTCTCAGAGACTTGGAAAGATTTTTCTTTACAGCCAAAGGTACTGAAATTCCACTTCAGCCATTGTGGCTGCCGGTCACAAAGGACACTTGGGAGAATGAGGGGACTTGCATGTGGCACAGTCCTGAGTGGCATCTAAGTCCTGGCTAACAAACCCTTTGTGTGTTTCAGTTAAGAAGGAAAAATCCTTATGGGGGAAACCGTGTTCCCTTACCACTGGGCATTATTAGTCCCCTTAATACACATGCTTTGTCTCTCAGCCATCTCTACGCTGATATTCCAATGTGACTATACCAGAGAGTTTAAAACTGTCTTGAAATTAATTACCCTTTCAAATCCTTCGTGCATGTAAGTGTCTCCTCCTGGCAGAACTTTCTGGAGTTCTTCTAGGCCTTGTCGGATCTGTTCCCTGAAACCCAAAAGTATCGTGTTACATGAGAGTATTTTCCCCTTGCTGGTGACAGTCATGCACACCAGTTTGCTTTTCTTGTGCATACTGTATTGCTCCAGCACTTCCCCAAAGCCACCAGTGGGAAAGTCTGTGGGTTACATTATCCATCCGGGTTCAGCCACAGCTAGAGTGGGATGAGTTAGATTTCTGGAACCTTTCACAAGGATCTCCACTTGCTTTTAAGATTTGGTGACACGGACAAAGCTTTCTTTCTACACTGGAAATGAGCCTTGCAATGTTCCTGCTCCCAATGTGACACACAGCCACACCGGTGGAGAGGTAGGTGGCTTCGTAAGCCAGAGAGTGATGAGCACCAAGAAACCATTAGAACCAAGGAAGGCCACCTTAAGCTTGCAGCTGGGAGGAATCCGAGCAAATGATGCCAAAGGAAACCGCACAGTCAGCTTTGAAAGCAAAAAACGCATGACATCCATACTTCCCACGCAAGCAGGGGCGAGTGGTGGCTGATGCTTGTGTGCTGTTCCTCTGTTTGGCCAAGGTAACGGTGGGGGCAGGAATAGGAAGAGGGCCAGAGCTGGGGTGGCCTCGGAGCCACGTGGTCTTGCAGACTACGCTCTCTGCAGGGTAAGACACACACATCCATGTTCCCAGCTCTGCAGCAGCAGCAGCAGCAACAGCACTGCGCTATTGCCGGAACTTCTGAGGCCTAACCTCACTCATAAACCACAAGCCTGTGAGAGGTTCAGGATGGCCTTCCTCCTGCTTTGGTTTCGTGGTGGAGGAGGAAATGCACAACTTAAACCAGGAAGAAAGAGCCTTCAAGTCAGAAGAGATTAACATTCCTGGGGAACACGGTACACCAAGCCTGGTTCAAGGATGCTGACTTTGCCTCCTGATAACCTCTCAAAGTGGGTGCTCTTGTCCCTTGGGTTCAAAGAGGGCAAGAGGGAGAGCAGAGACTGGAAGTCAAAGGTGCTGCCTCGACGGCCACTGCGCACACCTGCCAGGAGCTCTCCACGGACAGACTGCTGAGTACAGGCTGATATGACGTTCCCACGCACTCAAGCCTTGTGACGGCTCTTCAATTCCACAGCTAAGGACACTGAATCACAAAAAATCCCGGGAACCTGTCCAAGGCCCCATCACTAGGATCCTAGAGGTCCTACTATTATAGCTGCATGCCAGGCTTTTTCTTGAATGGACTAACTAATGAACCTGTTTATCTCAGCAACTGTTTGGGTAGGAGTTCTAATGAAAAGCACCAATCCTGCATGAAAATTGATGTGACAGGAGGCCTGGTTGGTGTTGGGGGGGGTGGATCACCAGGCTGTTGGAACATTTTAATGGCACGCTGAAAGAGCTTGGCACAGGTTCCCACTCAACACCACACCACTCAAACTTTGGGAAAAGTGCAAACTATGATCTGGATATCCCATCAGAACCCAGCTGCCCAAGGTGGCCTCAAGAATTGGAGACCTAACTGGACCATTACCTGACTCATCAGTAAATTGTCTTTGTTTATCTCCAAAAAAATCTGGAAATGGATCCACATCCAACCCAGGCAGCACCAGGGGCTACACCACCGTCTGACCTGGCAGAGGCCACTGGAATAACACCTGGACCTCGACTTCCTCCACTCACTGTGTGTGAGGCTGCTAGAGTCTTCTTAAAGTGAAGATCAAATCATACCATTCTTGCCTCTGCTCAAGACCCTCCCATAGCAAGTCACTGTGTCCGAGGCACCTCCCTGTGGCTTTGCGACACCTACAGGTATGACCACTGCCTCCCTGTCCAACCTCACCTTCACTCGCCTGCCTCCACTGTCCCAGCCTCAGCTGCACTTGTCTTCTTAGGCTTGGAGACCCTCTCTGCACCATCAACCCCAACAGCCTGACTTTTCCTTGGGCTGGGCCTGTTTGGATCCCTGCTATGTCTTCTGGGTCTTGTGACTGGAACTTAACTGACATTCAACAGATTCTTGTGAAGTAGGAAGAGGAACATGCACCATCTCTGTCAGTCACCTCTGGAAGACAATGGCCTCACTTGACCATGTAGCGGAAGGCCTGGCCTGGTCACTGACCCTAGGACAGGTCTGGGCCCTTGTGGTGGACGGAAGCCATTCTTTGTGCTACAATTCTTCCATCACCTCCCATATTTCAACATTCTGTCAAGAAACACAATTTCAACTGTGTTGTTTGGTTGTTTGATGAGAAAGAAGTAACATATGCTTTAGTAAAAGAGAAAAGACAAGAATGCTGTTCCCCAACAAGGCTACAGGAGGTGCAGGGATGGGGAAGGTACCTGTCACCACCTGGCAGAATAATGTCCTGTGGATTGGCAATCCATGAGTTCCCAGCAGCAAAGACAGGGATGGGAAATCAGAGTCTGTTCCTGAGCACACACAGATGGCAGTGCCAGGATCCTTCAAAATAGCTGGGAGGAGGGGCAACCATGGGGACAAAGACTCTCTGAAAATTAGATTTGGTGTTGAAAGTAAATATACAATCCTAAAATACACAAACAGAAAACATCTTGGGAGTCTAAAGCAATCCTGAGCAAAAAAAGCAAATACTTGACCTCAACCTACACTACAGAGCCATAGTGACAAAAATAGAATACAATAGGAGACTAAGAAATAAATCCTCAGAGATACAGTCACCTGATTCTTGACTGTGTTAAAACAAACAAATAAACAACAAAAAACCTCCATACATTGGAGGACTGGAGAAATGGCTCACTGGTTAAGAGTTTGGAGTTTGGTTTCTTAGCGCTGCCATCAGACAGCTCACAATCATCTGTAACTTCAGCTCCCAGGAATCTAACATCTCCAAGCCTCTGAGGACACCTGCACACACACCTCCACATATACAATTAAAAAGAAAATAAATATGCACTGGAGACAGAAGACAGCCTCTACACAAATGATGCTGGGAAAACGGGTTATCCACATATAGAAGGATGTCATTTGATCCCTACCTCTTTCCTGGTACATAAATCAACCCCAAATGGCACATTGACTTAATTGTAATACCTGAAACTCAGAAATTACTAGAGGAAGAGGCAAAACACTTAAGCATAAGCAAGACAAGGAACCTTGTGAAATAGGCGTCGGCACCTCGGGAAATAATAACAAAAACTGGATAATGGGATTGTTTCAAGACTAAAAATTTTCACAGCAAAGGAAACAACCAAACAAAGGGAAAGCCTATGAGTGGGAGAAGAGATGAATATCTAGAATCTGTAAAGAACAGGGACAACAAAACACCCAAATAACAAATAATTCAAACAAAAAACAGGCAAATGAACTTTACAAACAAAGAGATTCAGAAGGCCAAGGCACACACCCTCAACCCCTGGGAAAATACAAATGACATTACACTGAGATTCCATCTCACCACAGATAGAGAATGGTTATCTCCAAGACGGCAAACGCCGATGTGGGAAAAGAGGAGCCTCCTCCAGTGCTGTGGGAGTGTAACGGCTGAAGCCACCAAGGACATCAGTATCTGAAAAGAGCCGCCAGTGACAAAGCAGATCACACCTGGGTAACACCTGGAGGAATCCCGTCAGCCTGCAGCAGGGATGCGTGTGCAGCCGTGCGTATAGCTGAGCCATTCATGATGTCCAGGAGAGGGAACGAGTTCAGATGTGCACCAAGAGATGGATGTCCATAGAAGACACAGTGTACACATGCAAATACATAAACACCGATGTCACGACCAAGAAAACAGACAGAAACAGAGATTACAATAAAAGGTGAAATAAGCTAGGTCCAGAGAGATAAACACTGCATGTTTTGCTTCTATGTGGAAGCTGGAGGAGAAAAAAATTGAACACAGAACAATGTGGGTGTTAGGGCTGTGGAAGGGGATAAAGGTAAAGGGGGAGGAAGATCAGAAGGCACAATAGAGGGGACACATGGCTAAGGTGTGTTGCATGCAAGAAAGAAAATGTCCTGACGAAGCTTGTCACTTTAAACTTAATAAATGCAAATGGAAACATGAATGTGATCTTGTTCTTTGGTCATGCGCTAGTAAAGCCTGGAATATTCTTGGTAGCATTAAAACTGGAATATTATGTTAACACTGAGTTTTAAAAAGAAAGTTTAAAAAATAGCATGTTGTGGGTGTGGAAAAGGCTCCTTGGCTTTACCGTGTTTTTCTTCTGCCAAGTAAAGTATGGGAACGGGAACCGGGGGAACTTTTCTTCTAAGCTCATTTCTTTTCCTGATCTAGTGATTTCCCTCTTTCCCTCCCTCCCTCCCTCCCTCCCTCCCTCCCTCCCTCCCTCCCTCCCTCCCTCCCTCCCTCCCTCCCTCCCTCCCTCCTTTCCTTCTTCTAGAAACTTCCCTGATACACTGGCTTTTTAACTGGGCACCTGTTTTGTTGCCTTCTCAAAGCTCCCTTTCCTTCTCCAAGTACCCACAACATCTAGAAATCTGAGAAGCAACAGAGGCCTGGGACCCATAGGTCTGCTCTGACCCAGGGACAGCTAGCACTAAGGAGGCAATGTCATCTTAGAAACCTAAAGGAGTAGGGAGCCAGACTTGTATAGGCTGAAGACCTCTGGAAATTCAATTATTGGTGCAACATTAATTTCCTGGGAAAAGAGAGGCTGGGAATCCTCCATAAGAGGCTGTTATTTTTCCTTGGTGGTTTCTCTGTCCTCCAGTGTTCCTGCTTAGAAGCTGGGGTTTTCAAGCCACACATCTTACATTCCTTTTGCAACACATAGCACTGAAGGACGGGTGTAGTGCTGGCAACTGTTAGGTGAGCGAGTCTAGCTTCCATACATCATCCATTCCTACACCGATTTGTTAGTGTGCAGTGAGTCTTTGCACGCAGCAGAGTGGTGGCCTGGAGGGTGATGGTGGGAGCGACTCAGTCACAGTGCCCTGTGGATGTGAGGTTGACTTTCTGGGGCCGTAGTCATGCTGTGGTGTTTTGATAATGTCTGCTGATAAAGTATTAAGGAACAACACACACAAGCACACCAGG